GTAGTTGATTTGTTTTAAATTGAAATAAAAAGAATATTTTGAATGTATTGTATGTTGATTTTAATAATGACGCCAAGGAATGTTCGAGGAGTGCAAAATTGTATATAAAATAACATCGATGTTCTGTGCCTGACGTTCGAAATTTGAAATTTGAAATTTTATTTTTAAATAAAGTAAAGGGCTATTTGCGATCGCATCATGCTCCCGGCCTAACGAAGTTCCCTTAGCACTACGTAATGTTAGTCGTCAAGCATAGATTACATTAGCTTATAATAGATAGACTTATAAAGAATACAAATAGCTGCATAGTAAAAAGAAATTACAATTATTGTGTGGACTGTATTTACATAAACTTAATGTTAAAAATTATAAGTATAATACTGTTCTAGTAATAATACAAGCTTGTGTATAGGAAGGTGATATTCACCAGTGGCAGTTTTATAATTGCAGACCGAACCAAGTTATCACTACTATTTTTGTAGACTTGAATAATTTTGCCAAGCGGCCAACAGGCAGGTGGAGTATTCTCGTCCTTAATTAAACAACACATCCTACTTCTAGATTATTACACTTGCCTAACCAATTAGATCTAACCTGTATAAAACTGCTTCCAGAACATTTGTTTGAAGCGATTAATCCTTTGAAACAATGCATATATTTGGTTCTGGTAAGTCCACAAAGAAATGTGCCGAAGTTAAGTACGGCATTATGTTGTGTCAAAGGACACAGCGGACGACTATTGAGGATACCCTTTAAGTACATAAAGTTTTTACAGATTTGATGCCTGCTTCGTAAATAATGGCTAGCTAAAGGCACAGTAAAATTCCATTCTATTTTATCCTTACTACAGAAATTAACAATATTAGTATACGATTTATCGTTTTTGAACATTTCGTATAATACGTTCAATTCATTATGTGAACCTCTAAAATTCGTGCCGTTGTCCGACTGAATATAGTACATATACATCGCCTAGATATAAAACGCTTCAATGCATTGATAAAAGAATGCGTAAACAGATCTACAAGTTCCAAATTAATAGCACGCGTAGCCAAACAAATTATTAGACATATGTATCTCTTAGTGTATTTATAATTGCGTTGCATATTACTCCTAATATTAATAGCACCACTAAAATCAATGTCGACCTGCGTGCACTAGAGTGGGACTCGGCAGCGAAGACATTTGTTGCTCACAAGTTTGCGCTTTAAATCTTTATGCACCGTATACGGCGGTGAATCATCTTTTTAACTTCGACTCTACCATTTATAGGCCAGTATCGCAGTCTTAGATTAGCAAGAGTGTTTTGTATGCCCGAGTGTAAAAGTCTGTAGTGATACTATTCTATGATCAAGGATGTAATGTGTGACTGTGGCGGTAAAATGATAGGGTGTGCATGATTATATGAATATTTGAATCCTTCCGCCAACACGAATGATACCTACATCGTCTAGAAAAGGATTAATCTTTCGTAATGGGCTACTTTTAAAAGTAAATGTGTTTGTATTTGTGTTTATACTTTGTAAAGTTGCTAATTCTTTCCTTTCTTTACTAAAGTTCTTGTTACATTCGAATAATAAAATTATGCGAAAAATATAAAGCAAACACTAAAAGATAGTGACGGTCCTTTTTTTTATTTAATAAATTTAAATACGTATGACATAACTGTATTTAGTTTAGTAAAATTGGAATACTTGCAAAAATAATCTAAATATAATGTAGAAGGTATAGTTACTGTATGCGCGGTTTGTATTTTAACTTCAATTAATTCTAAGTTACTGTCCTGTTCTGAAAGTAACTGTAGCGAAGAAATGGGCCACTCTCTGGTATCGTTATAGATCCAATTGGTATCTTGCCACCATAAATAAGATGACAATAATTCGTCTGTTCTAATACCACTAATGAGTAAATTTTTATATTTTTTGTATAACTTAGAATATTTGAGACACCTCGCCTCTAATTGTATTAATCAACGGTATGTCGTATTAAATGAGTTCCCTATAATTAAACTTTCATTGATTGGCATGTTAACAGTGTACCACTGTGTGGCATGGCCACTATTATCGACAGTTGTCGTCTTTTGAAACAACTGCTTACAGTAGTGTTGGTCAGAAGTAAATACTGGCTTACTATTTACAATCTCTTCTTGTTTCCAAAAACGTGATAGTATCTTATTATAACTGTTATTAATTAAAAGTAGACTAATTCGTTGATAGTTGTAAATCATACATGTACAATAGGCTGCTTGTTTATCAAGAACTAAAGTGCCAGAAATAATCCAACCGAATACAGAATTAATTAAGTGTGGTAAATTTGTACCTAGAGATGGAATACCTAGGAATGGAATAAAATAATTTACAACTTATAAGTATATCGATCTCACTAGGTATGTGAAAAGTAGGCTCTGCTAGTGTGCAAGCTTGTAGTTTAGGTATGTTCCAATTGTCAGTATGGACTTAAAAGTGAGGTAGAGGTCCGGTAATTTTGTCCATAACTAAGCATATGAGCATTGGCAATAAAATTACTCGTGCGTGATGCAATGTTTGTTTTAATACAAACATTTGATTGTTGGTGAAATACACCAATACCTAAAATAGAATTCAGAGTACTATCCTGTTTACACTTAAGTTTGAGCGCTTGTAATGAGGTTTACCTCGCTGCCGGAATCCAAGAGGGCTGGAGCAGTGTGCTACTGTCCAGTCGCATTTTGAATCCTTATGATAGCTGTAGATAACAGTACATGTATGTTACTGTTAGTACTCGTATGAGTTGTGTGAACAACAGGAGGTCTGTTGTCAACGTGGTCACTGTATGTCGGCGTTAGTTGAGGGGTTACGTTATACTTGAGGGCAAGCACAGTGTGCACGAAGGCCGCGGGCGCTGTCATAGTGGGTGCTGCAGATGCGAGCGGTAAAATTGCTACAGGTGCAGGCGTAGATGGCTGTTCAATATTATTAGGATGAGAAATTAATGAGTTAACTAACATCGGACGACTTTGCATATGCAACATAGTATGATGTCGGCCATGGCAAGTAAGACATTTATGTTTTAAACATCTATGATTGAACTTGCTAGTTTGAGTCTTACTATCACTTTCTTTGTCATTAATAAGATCATATGACGTCATTCGCAAAGTCAAGAATTGTAACAGCTCCTTAAGTGTAGGTAGATTGCTATCCTTTCTGCTCAGTTCCCATAATGCTCGTAATGAACTATCCAGCTTCTCAGTGATTAAGAAGACTAACAGGACATCCCAGCTATCCGTGTTAACATCCAGAGAGAGAGTGCATCTTTTAAATTATTTCGAGTGATAGTTGCGTCATTGAGAAATGACTTTAAATGTGTGTTTACTACGATAACTTTATTCTCATACCTGGTAATCAATATGTCCATAACTTTTTGAAAATTGTCGTCGGAAATAAGCAATGCGCTTACTTAACCAGCTGCCTCTCCTTTAAGCGCTGTTTTTAGGAATTGAAGTTTCCTCGTTGGTGACATGTTGCTGCTACCAATTGTCGTCATGAAGATGTTCTTGAAGGTCGGCCGCTAGGATATCTTGCTTTCGAAGGTGGGTAAGGAGAGCTTGGGAAGAAGTACGTCATTACTGATATGGCGGTCGTATGATGGGGCACTTGAAAAGCTTGATCCGCTTGTAGGCAGTCGGTTGGCATCAATAACTTTTTGTAGCGCCGCTCTAGTTGTATAATAACTAGTCTCAACCGCGCTCCGGTCCTCTTCATTTGCAGCTGACTGGTCTCCATCCTGGCTTCCATCATCCTTCATCTCAATTAATGTTTGAAGTTCATCATATCTTTCCATTAATTTCTCAAGTTCCGCGTTGCGTGTAATATATTCGTTGATATCGAATCCTTCCTTTTGTTGTTGTACAAAATTAAATATTCTAGTTATTCGTCCTTTTATTGCGTTGCGTTGTGCTTTTGTTCTAGAATATTCCTCCGCCATTTTATTACGTAATGACGATCGTATTGCAGATATAATGAATAAATATTAATTCTTGTAGATATATATGTATTTCACAGAATACACTAGTTAATTCGACTCGTTGGGACCAAAATGTTTGCTGGAGGAATATTGCAGTGGTTGATTTGTTTTAAATTGAAATAAAAAGAATATTTTCAATGTATTGTACGTTGATTTTAATAATGACGCACTGAATGTTCTAGAAGGAGTGCAAAATTGTACATAAAATAACATCGATGTTCTGTGCCTGATGTTCGAAATTTGAAATTTTATTTTTAAATAAAGTAAAGGGCTATTTGCGATCGCAAACAATTACGAAAATGGCAATTTCGTAATGAAGGATTAGAAAGTTATTTTTATAAGTACAACGTATGTATGGAGGAGTATGAAATGTCGCTCATTTTTAGTTTGTATAGAGAAGGAGTGCATAATACTATTTTTTTTAATTTAATTTAATTGATTGAAATACATAAAATCAACGAACAAAACATTACACACACCACCACTGTACTACACGGCTGTTAAAACATCAATATCAAATATAATGTCAACATTGTTAATTGTCAAATCAGCGAATCGAGTAATCAAAGTATGCGTGTCTGTATTACTTTTTATATTTTTAAAATTATTATTCTGTTAATACAACCGGATATAAGGTTCAATCGCAAAATTGCATACTATTTTTTGAGATAAAAACAGCCTATGTGTCCGTCCCCGTGATGCAATCTATCTTCACGTCAAATTTCATTGAAATGAAATACATACCAGATAGACAAAAAGACACATTCATATTTACAATAGTAATATGAATATTTTAAAAATCTTAATAATATTATAAACCCGAAATTTTGTGAGTATAGATGGATGTTTGTTACTCTTTCAAGCAAAAACTTCTGAACGTATTTTTATGAAACTCTACAATAACATAGACATACACATCAGAATAACACATAGGCTAAAAATTTCACGCGAGTGAAACCGCGTGCACAGCTAATATTATTTAATTTTACAGGTGAAAACAATCTAGTTAAATCGACCTTTTACAACAACGTTTCACAATTAGCAAACATTACTATGACTAAGGAGCTGAATGATACAAGTTTATATTGCATGGAATTTTTAAAGAACAACACTGTATGCATACTGAGAAGTCATATTAAATTGTATTACATACCTCATGAAGACGATGAACACACGCAAGCTGGAACGTATCAAAGTACTCGTAAGTATGACTGTTAAGGCTGCGTGTTTCCGACCCCGTTCTATACAAAACGTGTTACTGTGAACATTTTGTACAATAATTAATTAAAGTATAAGGCAACAAATATCAACGTTTCACAATAGTTAGATATTTTTTTAAACAAGTTTCTTGAATTACACGGAACTGAAAAACTAAATTTTCACTAAAAAGGACCTTTCGTAAATAGTTACAGCAAAATTTTGTATTAAAAGTATTGCTATGAATAAGGGGAGACGTCAAGTTTTTGAACAGAGATAGAACGAATACTGAAAATACCAACATCGTAATTTAATTCTGTAGACCCACTTCTCTTAAGCATTTTATTCTAAAGCTGATACTGATGATGCTGCCTATAGTTGTCATCCACATATAAAATGAATAACAACTGATAAATAATGAGCCGTCATCGTACTATAACTTATCTTCATCCTAAATTTCACTAGGGATTTTTAACTAGCTGTTATCCACGATTTCTTCTGGTACTCTCCTCAAATTTTTAGCTCCTATTTTGTTACTTCCTTATTATTTTTTGAGATAAGAAGTAGCCTTTAATTTAGATAGCCTTAAAAATAATTAAATCGGAATATCATCTATCTTCATATTAAATTCTATTAAAGTCTTTTCATAATCGTGGAATGTTAACTGACAGACAAACTAGTCAGTTTTCAAGCACTGACATTAAAAAAATATATACTTCGAAAGCCACAACGATTAAATGTTATGGATGTATTTTTAAGATATTCATCACCTACAAGTTCAATTTCGAGTGTCAATAATTATTTATTTGGAACTATTAAATCACCAAAATTATAACCGCCTCCCATTCTTTATCATATTGTAAAACATTTAAGTATGTCTCCTTACAAAGCAAGGTGAGATTTATAAGGCAGAGGTACCCACATATGTGAATTTTGTACAAAGTCGAACTGAAACTTAGAAAAAAATTTTTTTTGTGCTATATTTTAATGGCAGTCATACTACCTGCTCACCTGATGGTAACCGGTATCCGTCGCCTATATACATGAACAGCACTACGAACATCACGTTATCATGTGACAACCGTGATACCACCCACACGTTGTCATTCCTCTTATTCTCTAAGTTCTTGTTATATTTTTCAGATATATTAACAGTCTGCCTGGTGGTAGTAGTTATTACATTAGTAGCGTTGCTGATTGTGATCTTCTTTCTGGTCTACAAGAAGAAACAACGTGATCCACAGCCGCTGCCAGCTGAGGCGGCACATTACAGTGTAGTGTACGACCATTGGATTAGACAGCGTCATTGTCAGTAACATGAAGACACATTGTGACCAGGGTTGCCTTTACATATTTAGCCCCATACGAAGAAATAAAAAATCTAATAAAAATCTAGTTAATTTAGCTCAATTTAATTAACGAACCTGAGAACCCATCACCATATACGTAGTATAAGTTACTGGTTCATTTTCTACGCGATGTGCAACTATAATTAAAATTTCTGATTTTTATCTCTTGTTTCTGATTGTTTATTACATCTAAATATGTAATCCAAGTATATAGGTATATATATATATATTTATATATCGCATGTAAGTATGTATGTGTGTGTAATAATATGTATTATTGCAAAGTTACCACGTAAGTATTTGTAAACTATTATATAATGCACCGCTTATTAGATTCTCAGTCTGCCTTATGGCTGACTGGTAGAGAACGCCCTTAGGTGTTAAGTTCACCATATGGACAATTATAATACTGCTTCGATAATTTATATATTGTATTAGTGCATTAAAGTTTAAATAAATAAATAATTCATTTTCATTTCCCGCTCTTGTTAGTATTTTCCGGTAAAAAGAAAAAACAGTAGTAGAAATAATCTTTATTCATTTTTTTCTACCACTTCTTCGGAACGTAGACTCATAATAAGAAGAACGAGTAAGTGACTTACAAATTGCTCTTTTAAATAAATGTCATTCTAAGTAAATACACAGATATGTAGCTTGAAGTAAGCATTTACATACAACTCCAGTGTATGTATGTGGACTATGTAGCATTTCCTTTAAAATTTACCTACTAGCTACTGTAGCGTCACCTTCATTTAACGAATTTGTAGGCTATAATTTTGTAGGTACCTATGTCATTTAAATATTATAACTGAGTGTAACTAGTCATTAGAGATATCTATATATATATATTAGTAGTTATAATAAATACATAATATAAATAATTTTATTACATGAGGAAAATCTGTCATGGAGATTTTTTAATAGATATTAGTTTAAATTAATAAGACACGAATGGGTATTGCCTAACTCCTACCGTCTAAAAACCTGATGGTATACCTGTCATGCTCATAGAAGCCGACGTTATGGGAACTATGAATTTTGCGCTTTCCCGTCCAAAGCTCACGACGGTTTCAAAAGGGAATCCTTGGAAACAGTCGTTTTCTGGTCAATTCTTCATAATAGGCTACTTCATTACATCATATCATCTTCCATTGGTGACGTATACCGTTAGTACAGGCAGAAGCGTCATTTCATAATTATCCATTAAAAATACTCTCTAGTTGTACAATTAATTGAGAGTGGGATACCCTAGTACCAGATGTAAATACGTAACAATATTCATAGACACGCACATTAGTACACACACAGGCACATTCGGGTATGTATGAGTCGTTCATACTCGAATAAACTCAAACTGCGTTGCAATTCCGTAGGACTAACGTATCTCTGTATCCCTATAATGTACCCTGTAATTTCACCATACCAAGGCTCAAACTAGAACACAAACTGTCTCTCTGTTAGCATGTTGCTTACTTTTTAGGGTAGGTATGTAGTTGACTATTGTGTTCATTACAACGTCGATAGTAGATAATGCTCTACCTGGTCCTGCACTACCTCATCTGTGATAACAATGATGAAAGTATATTAATATTTTATGAAATAGGTAGATACCTATTTAAGCGCTAAATTTAAGTTGTCATCCATGTATATACATGGATGACAACTTAAATTTAGCGCTTATGACATTATTTTGAAATGTAATACAAATTAATTGTATTAATACATATATATAATTTACTCGGCAAGTAGACCACGCCATCTGATACAAGGAAGACAATTTTATTGAAGGATACTGATGCATGTATAGACGAACTCAAATATTATAAGTATATCATATCGTTTATTGTAATATACATATAATGAAACGTAAGGTATATAAGAAAAAATATTATTGGGAGACTATAACAATAATAAAAATAAAATTTTCGTCTGTTTTGTTGTGTCTGTGTCTGTTTGTTGTTATAATAAATGACGAACAATCTATATTTCCTTCATATTAATATCATAAATTCGAAAACGTATTTGGCGATCCACTTTGGGTTCGCACAGATATATAGTGTACGAGACAGCTCTCGAATTTTGTTTTATTGGATGATAATGGTATGGACCTCTCGCCTGCGCTAAAGGTTTACGCTAGCGGGGCACCAGTGGAAGATGATGAGATGAGCAAGAGATCAGGTCAGTTAGCCCATCGTGGCAAATTTTCTAGGAAAATATGAGGATGTTTTCCAGGCGGACCTACTTGGATGTCAACCTGACTTAGGATATTGCTAGTAATGGGGTCACTTGTCCCCACAGAGCTCATATTAACGTTGCGCACGAACAATCACTATGGACATCACGTTATCATGTGACACCCGTAACTACCGATGCGTTGCCATTTCAGAGGACTAAGATATCATGCCTCATAACGACAATATTCATCTAGTCATCTGAAATTCTAAGGTAATGTGGGAACGCAACAATATTCCATAAAGTAAATATAAACAATGGTATAAAAATTAGCCAATATCAAAATGACTTTGCAATTTATTGCATTGTTATATAATATAACGAATATGTAATTTATTAGCATTGCATTTGAACATAAAAATTCTTCGCCATACTGGTGTAAGGTGTCCTAAAGAATTATTGCTGGAATTTACCGCATTCAATATTACGAGTACCTTCCTATCTCGTATCCGCGAGTGAGCGGGAAGTATAGAGAAGAATATATTATTTTCCTATTCTTATTTAATTTACTACTTATTACCCGCGTGTGTCATAGAGATATACATAACATACAGTTATTATTATTTTATATTACAGTTTGATATTTTTGTTAGAAGTCTAGTAAAATGATAATATTTTTCATTGTTTTTATATTATCTGTTGCTTTATGCGCCATTAACTGTGGTAAGTACTTGAATAATATTATATTTTATAATTATATACACATATATATATATTATTTTTCATATATATACCTATATATTAAACTCGTGTATATATTGTAGCATGTTCTATTTCTAATCTTTGTTAATGGGAGACAAGATGTATTGTGGAATTCAATAGGAGTAGTCCTATTTTTTTAAGTATCTAGAATGGCAAACGCAATGATATGATATACGACCCACTTGATATTAAGTGGTAACCACAGACTATATGCATGAATAGTATCACAGACATCACGTGATTAGGAGTCGCATGCGATATTTTTCATCCATTGCCATCCCAAAATTTGTTGTCGTAAGCTTTTCGTGCACTGTAATTGCTCAATCACACTCTAAAAAGTGAACGTAGCTAAACTACTATTTATAGGCTATAGCGTAGTAATTTAATTTCGCTGCTCTATCTCGTCCTTCAATCGTAACACAAAGCAAGCTTGTAGCCGCCTGAAAGAGCGTCCTCCAACAACCTTGTAAAGAGTCTGCCTCGATAAATGAAAGTACAAAGTATATGACTATATGGTCCTTCCTATCTAGGACTATAGTTATCAACAAATTTCAATTTAAGCTTAACAAGTTTACGTTTTTATTTGTATGAAGCTGTAACTAAAAAAACCAAAACATTTATTTTATGTTTTATTTTTAGTTGAGCAGTCATGGCAAATTCATATAGATTTTAAAAATAAATGTGACAATGGTAAGTTATGATGGTATATATACAGTTTTAAATTGTCATCCAGGTATAGAAAATAACTCTTTACATACCATATATAGCATTTAGAACCCTTCTTAGACTTAAATGTTGTTATTTTGTATCTTGTATGGTGAGTTTTCTTAATTTATTGTTTAATATTTTTAACACTAGATATTCCCAAAGTCCAATTTATTAAGAGCAACGAGACTTAATGCTTTACTGCCTTGACATATGCCTAAATATCGTGAGGTCGAATCCCGCTGGAAACAAAAAGCTTCTGATATTTGTAATTCGGATTACTTCGTTCACCACGACTTGAATAGTCTATAATACCAGGGATATTATAGACTATCCCATCAGGCATAACAATCACATATATTTCTATAGAAACGCGGATCACAAAAGCAGTAGGAGAGGAGTTTGAGTATACTTGTTTTGATGGCCAACATGGTTTGGGGGAACAACAAATTTGGTATCAAACTATGAACTACGGAAAGAAGTTTGGTTCGTATATGTTAACTTTTAATCACGATTTAAAATATTGTAGAAAAAATGGCAAATATGCAAATGACGTTGTGTAACCACGTTCATTCAAACCGTAACGTATTAAAAATAATAGTAATATCGGTAAAAAACAATATATTATACATATTCCGCGTGGTTCCGAAACGAAATTTTAGAATTTATTAGAAAAGGCTTCTTGTTGATTGTTGCGGTAAAAATTATCACAATAACATACTCGTGAATATTCATATCAACATAACTTCATATTAGTTCTTCAGGATATATATTTAACCCGCCAAGTAGCTTGCTTTATGAGCTGTGTTTCGGTTGAAGAAATTACAATAAAGTCCATAGATGAGACATGATATTTGTTGTACTGTTCATGTTGATGGGTGGCACAGGTACATGGTAAATTAAGTTTAATTATATATACATTTTATTTAATTTTATTTTTCGTTTGTTTTTTTTATATTGTAACATTTTTGAGAAGCATTGAATAAATATTTTTTTCTTTCTTTCTTTCACAGTTGCCACACCAATTAAGTAGACAATGCAATACAATGGAATCTAGTCTAGTCTGTTATATTACCAAAGAGTTTACACATGATATACATATATTATTTATTATTAAATTTTTTTTATCATTTTAGTCATGTAATAAATGATAATATTGCCACATATACTGATAGTTCGGTTTTGTTTTTTGCACAATACAAATATTTATGTTTATGACTTTTTATATCAATTACAAATTTAAATTTTCTTAATTGTTTTAAATTAATGGTATCATTATCTTTTAGATCTATGGTCACTAAATTCGGCTCCGGGACAGTCGCTTACTTACAGAAGCAAAATGTATGGATTCGACAATAATACAATTATGTCTTGCATAATGATGAGATATATAAATCATCCAGAACCGCAAGCTATGGTCAATATTGAACAGATAAACAAAATGAACATCGTGCCTAATAATCAGAAAGGTAAAGATACTGAATAAGGCTTAGACTGTGAAGTCGTATCGTGTGTCGATAAGTGTCACTTTGTGAAGTTTCCGAAATTACGTTTATCAATGATAATCCATAATATTAGCATTGAACAATTTATCGTTTACTACTGACCCTTCACACAGCAAAAATTGACATGATACCTTTGAATCTATATACACGAATAGCTCCACGGTATACTTAATAGTGATTTAAAAGAAGTAAGCTTAGAAATAGACAAAGGGAATGAATTAACACCCTCCTCATTCCCTCCTCTCACCTCCGTGCCCGTGACGGAGGTGATATAATAGGTAGCATGGGTGTCACGTGAAGACGTGCTTTTCGTGGTGCTATTCATGTGTATAGATATTTCTACATACCATCAGGTGGGCTGTCAGTTTATTTGCTATTCCAAAGACACAAAAAGGGATACAGGAGTGCCGACTAACGCTATTGCACCAGAGTTAGACTACAAATGTTCGTCTGCGTACGCACCACCAGCTTTCTTTGTCAGTTTAGGCAGTCAATTTGCCGAATAAGCAGAACGACATCTTAGTCCTCTGTAATGGTAATGTAAGAGCGGTATCACGGTTATCACATAATAACGTGATGTTAATGTATATATAGTTAGAGAATGTGAATCCAAAATTGGAATGTATGGAGTCTTTCATGAATATTGTACGAAATCACTTATGTTACACTGGCAGGGCACTAGTGAAGGATGAAAAACCGACGACATGTACGCTATAGTAGACTCAGCAAATCGTGTCAAATTCATCAGAGATCGCGGTGGTATCTACTAAGGGGAAGTTAGATGTAATATATTTAATTATTATTAGTTACAGAAAAAATTCATCATTCCATTTATTACATTGATCATAATAATATCTTCACAACAAACTGCAGTGGGGATTACTGGATTCATCTTAATGGTAAGTTGAATACCATATAAGTGTAATCATTTATGTGATCTTGTATTATTTTATTACATTATGTTTAAAAATTGAAACAGCCAATAATGCATTTAAAAATAAATACAGAAGATGTTAGGCCCATACAATCTGGTCAATTAGATCTAGCCTTCTTCGATGGACTATATTATTGTATAGGAAACTGGCTGGTCGTATATGAATGACTTACCCTACTTCAATGTGCTTGTTCTTCAGTGGGCCCACACGGTTACAGGAATCTCAGGAGTTCACTCAGGTTGATTACAACTATTAAGACATGCGTGCGATATGAGTGCGACGTGCGCGCGCGGCGAAAGCTATGACATCACTGATTATTGAATTAGCCGGGAGGGGTGTCAATGCACAAGACAAACCAGGTACGCATCGCGTTTGGCGTAACCATGCCCCCCGCCTTGACATAATGTCAAAGTAAAATTAACAAAAAAATAAAGGAACTACATAATTGAACCTTATTGCGAATGCGACAAATACAAAAAACAAGAAAGAAAAAATACAAAAAATATCAAATGCGGAATTTACTAAATAAGAAAAATGCAAAGGATTTTAACTTAACTTATTAACCTATTATAAATGCGTACTACCTATCTTATAGAATACATATTATTGCAAAGGCAATGGACATATGCGGTGCGTTAGGAGGGATAAGGGTCCACTTAATTCCATTGTTAGCTAATTCCTTATCCCAAACAGATCTACATTCTTGCGATAAAAACAAATAAAGTTCACGTAGGTAGGATCGTGCCCCTATAAAATTAGTACCATGATCCGTATACATGCATTGAATAGGACCGCGGCGAGCGAGAAAACGTTTTAACGCGGCGAGAAAACAAACTGTACTCAATTCACTTGCGAGCTCAATATGAACAGCCCGAGTGGTTAAGCACGTGAATAAGCAAACGTATGCTTTGCGAGTGGTTATACCACGACCGCGATATTGGGTTACAAAAAACGGACCTGCGAAATCACAGCCACAATGGACAAAGGCTTTAGGAACTTCCTTCACCCTTAGTGCAGGCAGATCACCCATCGGTGGGAATGTAGGACGCGGTTTATTGCGGAAACAAATATTACAATTAGCTACGATCGTGCGAATCATACGTCGAGCGGCGAGAATCCAATATTTAGTACGTAGTATTGACATTAACAATTCTGGGCCTGTATGCAGGTTTTTACGATGAAAGTGTGTTACAATTAATTGAACTATATGATCTCTGCCCGGAAGTAATATAGGGTGTTTATAATCGAAATCTTCATCAGAATGAGTCAGACGACCACCAACTCTTAAGAGATTGTCTGATAAAAATGGATTTAATTTAATTATTGATGCGGTACAAGGTTTTTTATTATTTAACTTGCTAATATCGTTTTTAAAATGAAACCCCTGCACAGCGCGAATAATTATACGTTCGGCGAAATCCAAATCGGAACTGGATATGACGCCGCGTGGAAGAATGTTAGCGAACTTATAAATATAACAAATTACACGAAGTAATTTCATCCATGACGAAAATTTGCGAGCGAGCGAATATAAATAAGGTTCCATAGAATCTTCAATGGTAACCAGTGCGATAGGGTTTTTATTTCCTTCATCGGAAGCTAACTGAGCTACAGTACGTAACGCTAAGTACGGGCTGCAACGTAAGCCAAATGCAACTTTATTAAATTCAAAGACTTGGAGCGGTTTATTAGGACTAAATCTATATACAATACGTTGAAAACAACGATCTTGCGGGCGAACTTTTATTCGTAAATACATTTGTCGCACATCAGCTGAGATGGCGACTGCGAACAATCTCATATTCAAGAGAATAATAAATAAATCCTGTTGTAAGGAAGGACCTGTATGTAGAATATCATTAAGCGAAAATCCAGTACTAGACTTCGCGCTTGCGTCTAGTACCGGCCTTATTTTCGTGGACACTTTGTCCTCACGTAAGACTGCGTGATGCGGTATAAAATAACTAGGGCTGTTATTTTCAATTACGTCTACGGGAGAAATATATTGTTTTTCTATATATTCGTGAATTACCTCATCATAAAGGTATTTCAGTTGCGGTTGCGATGCGAATTTACGTTCCAAATGATAAAATCTGCGTTTAGCGATATCGAAAGAGTTCCCTAAAGACTTAGAACTATACTTAAATGGTAAAGCGACTTCGTAGTGACCTGATTCGTTACGAGTGGTCGTTGTGGTATAAAAATCTTCACAGTATTTATCGTCTATACTTGTTATTGGTTTGCGATCTACTTCTTCAATCTCCCAAAATTTGCGAATTAATACTGAAACCTCGCACGAAGTGGTGGAACAGAACGAGAATGAAGAAGACGTAGAAGTTAAGGTGGGAGCTTCACCTAAAATAAGATAACCGAGAACAGTCTCCAACGCGTTTGGAGTACCAGGTGAATTTATAATTTTACCTCCAGACAAAAGGGTCGCGAATAGATTGACACCAATCAAAAGGTCAATTTCTGATGGTGTTCCCCACGTATCATCTGCGAGCGGAATATTATAAGTAACTGAGCGCGCCAACATCAATTTGACATGTTGGTAAGTTACCTGTTATTTTATTCAAAACTAAAGCGCGAATATTATAATATTGCTCATGATTAAATCTCGATCGGAAAGAGAGATCAACTGCACCCTTAACTGGTTCAGTGGCGCCACCTATACCCTTAACGGTGGTATGTGTGTCCGGCTGCATGGTTAAACCCAATTTTAAACAACACTTAGAAGTAATATAATGCTTTTGTGACCCGGGGTCCAATAAGCAGCGAATGACAACATCACTCCCATTACGAGCAGTAGCAAATACCTTGGCAGTAGCAAGTACTTCAGTCACATACGGCTGCTCATGAATGGACGATGAAAGCGTGCATAACGACTCCTTGTCTCCACCAGTGGTGGTTCCAATAGGAACGGGAGTTGGTTCTAATCGTGTCTGTTGTGTGGGTTGTGTGTGCGCAAGCGGAGGCAATTGCGACGAAGAAGATGGTGGTAATTGGCGACCGTGCGTAGAAGATGTCTGTGCGTTTTTCGTACCCTGAGATACTTGCGTAGGTGCGGAATTATTATTTTTAAAACAAAGCAACGTATGATGTCTCGGATTGTTACAATTTCGACAGGCGGAAGTTGATTGACAACTGAAAGAGTTATGTTGACTACTTAGACATCTAGTACACATACGGTTAGTTTTAATATAATTAAATCGATCATTAATTGTGAAAGTTGAAAATTGTTTACATTTATATAATTGAGAATGTGAATCACCTTTACATAAGGAACAATAAATGCGTTGCGTAGGATTAGTACCTAAAAATGTACGTGGCGATCGAGCGATCGATCGTTGATGCGACTGTGCACGACCACTGGCGGACGCGGCGGCGGGACCGTCCAACTTGGTGGCGGCAGCGGCGCCGGCGGTGCGGTTACACGTGCGTTGTAATATTTTTACGTGTTGACGTATAAATTTTATAAAATTTTCAAACTGCGGTATGTCATCTTCTCCTCTAATTGATGACTCATACGACTGCGCGGTAGCCTGATCTAATGCCTTTAATCCCATATAAATAAATATAAAATCATCCAGCTTTTCAATTTTAAGTTGCTTTAATGCTGCGATAGTTGACGAGAAAGTATCAATAAATTTTTCTAAGTTTATTGCCGAAGGACCGTTAATTGATTTTAAAGAAAATAATTTATCTAAATATGACGTTGCAAGAGAGCGTTTATCTTGATACTTATCGATTAAAGCTTGCCACAATATAGGATAATTTTCGGCTGCTGGTACTAAGCCAGCACACAGATTTCTAGCCTTTCCTGATAGGTGACTCATAAGATAATGAAAACGTTCTGAGTCCGAAAAGGATTCATTGTCATGAATAACCTGTTTGAATGTTTCGTAAAAGAAAGGAAATTCTAAAATATCACCTGAGAAGACTGGTAACACAATTTGGGGGATCCTTACTGATCCCTGTTTGTTGTCTGGTAAAGCAGACTGACAAGCGGGAGCTGGAGTTCGCGAAGATTGAGGTTGTAACGAGACCGCCATCATCTTTATAGAATAAAACATTTCGTCAAAAGCGGTGAGAGATTGATAATTAACTACATAATCAGGGTTTAGTTCCAAATTAAGGAGAATAATTTCATCGACAATTTTAACATACTCGGTGCGCATTTGATCGATCAGGCTAACTTTTGCAATAAAAACATTACGATGTTTCTCCATTTTAGTTTTCGAAGATAATTCATAAATAGACTGAAGTTGCGAAAAATATTGTGCACGTTTTGCTTCATACATTTTTAATTTTGCGTTTGTGTTAGCCATTATTATTATTTATATATATACTTCTTAAAAAATAACAAAGGAAAACCAATAAATGCGATATATAAAACTATGTGCGGTAATAACGTACAACTATACCTGTACTACCGTAAAAGGGCGAGCGATAAACAATAATAAAGTATAATAGGTATTTAATGTACTAAATACCTACAAGACAGAAGATGTACTTGTAGCGAAAATAAGTACACAAATGCGAGAAATGATGCGCGATATAAACTAGCATACATAAAAAATATATGCTTACTATGCTATAAAACTACTAATTAATAATGCGAAAAATAGGTACAACTATTATCTATATATACCTATATGCGAGAAAAATAAAATAATGCATAAAAGCAATATTTTAAATATGCGGTGCGAGAAGTAAATCACAATAACGTTTTAAACACTAAAGCGCGTGACAAATAAATTTATATATACCTACTCATAAGCGGTAGTATGTAGGTACATAAGTGCGACAATACGGAATGTAGGTATCGACCATACATCTACAAAAAAAAATATGCGAGCGAAACATAAACTATACATAAAGCGAAATCGAAGTGAGTGATGTCATAGAAAATCAGATAATATATCTATAACTATAACTAAAAAAATATAAAATAACTATGTTCACAACTATTATTTTACGCGGGAGTAGTCTAAAGCGTTGTTGTTAGTCACTGTGTCGATACACCACGTATAACTTAATCATAGGTACGTAGGGCACGATCTTTAACCGACATGTATTGTATAAAACAGCTATGCGAACTAAATACCCAAACAATTTACAATAACCAGCGTATTATACGGCGAGTACTGCAAGGAAATAAAATATCTATTACGAACAGAAATAAAATCGCTGCTTATCAATAATTATTCAGATTAAATAGTGTGCCTTCCCTGCTCACTTTCTTGTGTAAAGACTACGGTAACCAACACTAACAATCTTAACATTCAAACACTACAATCATCATACATAATATTCGACAGGTAATATTGTTTCGTCAAATAGTATAACGACAACTATAATATTTCTAGAAGCTTCGATCGATCGAACAATATCGATATAATGCGGGTGAATGTGAAATTAAATGAACGAAACAACGCAAACAGATATAAAGCGAAATTGAAGAATTGAGCTGCGAGTTATGAACAATTCATAAGCGACATAAATATAAACTTATTTATTAACGAAAATACCAATGTATCGTTATATTTGTGCAACCGTGGTATGCAATTTGAATAGATCCTATTACATGCGCAATAAGGTTCAATATTACATGCGAGTCATTCACTCGACTTTCACAATAGGAAAAAATTAAAACAAATTTTAAATAAATAAATTGCGATTCCTATTGTGATCCGGCGACGGAAGGCCAATAAATGGTGCGGCGGTGGCTATGATCTAGCCTTCTTCGATGGACTATATTGTTGTATAGGAAACTGGCTGGTCGTATATGAATGACTTACCCTACTTCAATGTGCTTGTTCTTCAGTGGGCCCACACGGTTACAGGAATCTCAGGAGTTCACTCAGGTTGATTACAACTATTAAGACATGCCGATATGAGTGCGATATGACGTGCGATGCGCGCGCGGCGAAAGCTATGACATCACTGATTATTGAATTAGCCGGGAGGGGTGTCAATGCACAAGACAAACCAGGTACGCATCGCGTTTGGCGTAACCACAATCAATTATATATTTTCTTTATTTCATTATGATTAATATTAAACATGGCATATATATATATATATATTCCAGTATTCCTTCAAGAAATAACTATTCATGATAAATATACTAGCTAACGCGCTAAATGTTATTTAGCCATATAAATATATATTGCCATTAAAAAATAGGGGTCGAAAGTAGATGGATGAAAATTTAGGGGTAGTTATATTTTATAATGGCATAAAAATTTATAAAAAAAATGTCCTAATAATAAAATCAACAGATGCTGTGACAAGAGAAATTTATATATTACATTTATTTATATTACAGAATTGTAGAAATTGCTGTTTATATACGGTTTATTTCTCAATTATCCATTTTAATACAGGATAACTTTTATTATTTGCCATATTGTATTATCAACATATACAATATACTTAATGTACTCCTATAGTTGCTACTGATGAAATTTTTATAATATTTAAGTATATCACGAAATAGTCTTTCTATCGATAAATCTTACTTTTAATAATCACTACATAGTACAAAAAAAGTCGCTGTCGCTGTCTGTTCGTCCTTATATATGCTTAAATCTTTAAAACTACGCAACGGATTCTAAAGTAGTTTTTTTTAATAGATAGAGGGATTCAAGAGGAGGATTTATATGTATAATGTATGCATAATATTGTAGAGAAACACTGATAAATTTACAGTATTACTGTCTAATGACAAAAAAGCTGTGAACGTTGTGTGTTGTATGGATATTCTGTAGTAGATAGGTATATATAGTAATACCATTGCACCCGTGCGAAGATGGGGCGGGTCGCTAGTATTGTAATATTATTAAGTATAACGCTAAAGTTTGTAAATATTGATATTTGTTACTCTTTCACGCAAAAACTTCTGAATGGATGTTCGATTTAATTTTACACATATTAGTGTAAAATTTCATCGAAAATCCATCAGCTTGTGCATCAGAATAACACATAGGCTATATTTTGTATTGAAATTTAATGAGGGTGAAACCAGCACAGCTAGTATAATAATAATACCCTATTGAAGGTGTGTTTGTTTATCATTTTTGTAATTATTTTTTTAGATAAAAATGAAATATTAAAAACAGGAAGGAACCATAATTACTTTCTTAAAACTCGTATGGTTACAATTCATTTAACAGAGAATGACAATAATACTATTTTATATTGCATATCTTTTTCCTGTTATGTAAGCCGACGCGAAAGAAGGATATGCTCAAGAGAGATTTTAAATTCATTTATTTTCTATTCAAAGACCGGTAAGTAATAATAAAAATTTACAGTATTTTGATCACGGCATATGCTATAAACCGCATCCTTATTTAGCCGGTCACGGCGAAGCGGAAAGAAGAGTTTGATTTTGTGTAGTATTTATCTGTTCTCTAATAACTGCTATACTACTGCATTATAGTTTGATATATAAGGTATTGTTGAAAGAAGTTTCATTTAAATTTCAAAGTTGTACCATTATTTAGACTATATAATTCCAATTCGGTCTATAAAACCAGCTAAAAAAGTAATTGCGATGTTTTATAGATACTAATGCTGATACTTATTCATGGAATAAAATTGTAGGAGAAGTCTTAAATGTGTTGAGAAAACTCTTTTGATATTAATATTGTTAGGTGTAACTTCCTGTGGTGGCGCCACCGTCGTGCGGCGCGTCTATAAAAGGCTGCGAAACCCGGTGTGCGGCCTCTTTTGGTCGACAGACGTGCTCTCGAACAAATCTCCGTATCATACCGTGTTTGCTTTATAAGTTCTTTTACTGATTTTGTTAAAATTAATTATACGATTTGTTATCAGTTTCTTTTATTTAATTAAATTTAGAGGATACTCCTAACATCAGAAGTGGGATTCGAGGCCATTTTTGGTCGCGAATAACATTTTTGACTAAGGATTGATTACATGTCGAGTAGAAAACGCCCATCGTTACGAGAGCACGCGTCTCCGTTCTCCACCTATCAAATATAGGTGAACTAGCAGCGTTAATGGACGCAAGTCTCAACAATTGGTGTCGCTGGAACAACGTGCGGGTAGCTCAGCGAAACAGGGGTTCGCATATAGCTGCCGACGTAGATGCTGACGACGTGCCTGCGCCGGCACCGGCCCCGCCACGCTATCGCCGCCCGCGCAGACAGTCGGCGCGCCAGCCAGACCCGCCAACGCGGCGCCAACGAGCGCACCTGGTGCGGTGGCGCGATCGGTTGCTACCTCAACAGACATTACGAAACGTCTTATCGACGCTTAATGTCATGAATCTGGTGAGATCTTTCTATTTTTATATTTCATACTTTTAAGTATGCGCAACATTGACGAATAGTTGCGATGAAGTAGATCGTGGTCATTCAGTGAACCGACAGACGGTGTCAGTTTTGTCATTAAAAGGTGAAGCAAGTGCGTAGTAACGTGAGTGAGCTAGTGATGATCATACTTGGTCATATATGATAGCAAACTACGTAGTATAGAAGTAGATTCTTAAATACGGTGCTATAGTTGCAATATAGTCGAGTAGTATAGAAGTAAATTTAGTTCTTTTGAAAAATAACCTACGGACAAAATCGTATATGCGTTTTGTGAGAAGATAGGTCATACTGAATACGCTTACTTTACAAAGAAATAATCTGAATTAGGCTAACGCAAGTTTTCGCCGTGACTTGGACTAGTGATAATGCACATCGCGACGAAATTATCGCGCCGTAATATGCGGGTACCCACAGATGTTTAGTACGATAGTGGTTCAACAACTTTTAAATCAAAATGATCGTTTTCGTGTTGTAAGATGCACATATTATGCTGTTTAGACGAAACGGATATGCGGTCTGATTATACCCACAAATGTTTAATACGATAGTAGTTCAACAACTTTTAAATCAAATGATCGTTTTTGTGTTGTAAGATGCACATATTATGCTGTTTAGACGAAACGGATATGCGGTCTGATTATACCCACAAATGTTTAGTACGATAGTAGTTCAACAACTTCTTTTAAATCAAATGATGGTTTTCGTGTTGTAAGGTGCACATATTATGCTGTTTAGACGAAACGGATATGCGGTTTGATTACTTTCTTACTTAATCTGCAAAATTCATAACATCTCACAAGAAGTAACTTCTTAGTACCTTGTGATTATCTTAAAGACGTCGGTACTCATTGGTAATGATATTTTTAATATTGAAAAGACATTGCGTATACGAAATAACGATTTTTAGCGTATTTTTAGAAACCGCTCTTTTGAAAATAATATAGCGCGTAGTGAATCGATAGCGCGACTTCAATTGATAAATACACCGTTCCGTGGTGATGAAAAAGAAAATTTGTAGTCTTAATGAATAAACATTCTGAATACTTTTTAGTGGCTCAGTCACAGCTATGGTCAATACCGTATAGAGATACACATTCGACTACTTGTTAACGAAGTAGCGTTATGTAGGTACGACGGTTAATTACCGAATCGACCATATAAATTATTTTACAGTTATAAATTAAGCATGCGTGTGAAAATCCAGGTTTACAATTCATTTCCGCTAAGTGTAATTACCTCGCTCCTGAGGTTGTGTATCCTAGGAGACTGGAACTATTTGTAAGAGTCAGGTCAGGCCGAACGTATCCAAAAAGAAATGATGGATTCTTCGTTCAAACAAATTTCAATTTGAGCATTTCATTCATTCATCAAGTAATACTTATTTTTGAATCTTCCGCGTGAACTATCTTATCGTATAAGGAACGAGCGAGGAAGACTAAGTCTGTTGCTTTTTTGAACACTTGTGGTAACTGTACATTTTAAGTTCAAATGTGTGAATACAAACTGCGAATTAGTACTAAATCATTAAAATCTAAATATTAAATACGCAATCAATTGGTTGATTAAGTAAATAAGATTAAAGCGGTGTTAGAGTAGGAAAGTCTCTACAAGCAGTCCTCGTTCATGTGTATGACGGACAGAGAAAATAAACGCCGTAGTAGTTTTGGATACCAAAAACTGTCGAAGCTGCTTGTTGCGGAATACGATGTTGTCGGTTGAGACGATGTATAATAAAAATGAACTGATCAAATGCAAACAATATCATTTAAGGAGAGCTGACATGGTTTGTGCAATATTTAGTTGATATTATTTAGTGATACTGGTCAGCTATCTTATTCGGTATATCCCGTGATACACCCAAATCGCCTCTTGAAATTTTAACGGGGAAAAGAATAGAAACTAGAGAGATGAGATCATCTCTATATTGGCTAGTCAATCCGCGTTGCTTATCTTTGACCATTTACGGACTGAAGTCCATACGGATGCAAGTGCACTAGGTTACGGTACTAATTCAAATAGGAAAAGACGGACGTATACACGCAGTAGCTTTACAATATGTGCAGATCCAAGGTACTACTCCTGAGCTCGAGATACTTGCTGTTGTCAAGGCATTGCAACATCGTCATCTCATCGGAAAACATTTTAGGGTAGTAACTAACTGCAACGCCCTGAAAATTATAAGAGGATCTCTTGCCTAGGGTAGTGCGCTGGTGAATGTGCCTACAGGATCGTGATTTGACGTTTGAATATCGTAAAGGTTAGTTCATATCACACGCATCGAAATCCTTTTAATAACCTCACGAATCGTAGTAGCATATGCTGCTGATGATGAAACTACTTGTACAAGGGCAGTTGAATAGTTTGCGATATATAAAGAAAATAAATCTTAAAGAAAATAATTATTAACATATCTCTATAGGAAAAAGTCGCGATTATTGTTATATTTCTAAAGACTACGTGTTGACCATATTGACGTGGAAACGTTGTCGAGTTCAAATTAGTTGACGGTTTCAAAGTAGGGTCCATCTTGTAAAGAAATACTATAGAGCACGGAATTGTTTGTTTAATGTGTAAACATGTTACCTTATACTTTATATCACGTTCCTCTCCACCCAATGTCCAGGTCCACTATACTTTCAATACCTTATGATGCAGTACATAAAATGTAACGAATACAAATATATTCTCGTACACTCAAATGCTTTCTCTATTGTTCTAATCTATACAGAGTCAAAATAGAGTAGAGTCAAAAAGGAATTTGAGTTTTTCTAATGTAATTTGTATTTTTGAGATAAATTTTATCGTAAGGTATTTAGGTAACACCTCGTGTAAGGCTTTGTGCAGCATCGAGTGTGTTATAGGATACACCTCGTGTAAGGCTTTGTGCAGCGTCGAGTGTGTAATAGGTAAGCACCTCATATAAGGCTTTGTGCAGCATCGAGGGTGCTATAGGATACACCTCGTATAAGGCTTTGTGCAGCATCGAGCGTGTTATAGGATACACCTCGTGTAAGGCTTTGTGCAGCGTCGAGTGTGTATTAGGTAGCACCACGCATAAGGCTTTGTGCAGCATCGAGGGTGCTAAAGGATACACCTCGTATAAGGCTTTGTGCAGCATCGAGTGTGTTATAAGATACACCTCGTGTAAGGCTTTGTGCAGCATCGAGTGTGTTATAAGATACACCTCGTGTAAGGCTTTGTGCAGCATCGAGTGTGTTATAAGATACATCTCGTGTAAGGCTTTGTGCAGCATCGAGTGTGTTATAAGATACACCTCGTGTAAGGCTTTGTGCAGCATCGAGTGTGTTATAAGATACACCTCGTGTAAGGCTTTGTGCAGCATCGAGTGTGTTATAAGATACATCTCGTGTAAGGCTCTGTGTAGCGTAAAGTGTGTTATAGGTTACCTCTCGTATAAAGCTTTGTGTGGCTTCTATGTATACAAGCTTAGATCAGATTTAAATTAGTCCTTGTGAGGCAACGTGATCCTACTTCCAAAAATAAAATGCTTACCACTAACTTATGGTTCACAGGTTGTGAAGAGTCACTGTTGACTCGTCTCCGAGCAATAGCCCTGAGAATACTTTCAGCCTGGACAGAGCGCATAAGATTAGCAGTCGGACCAGACGACGCGCCGTGACCAGAAAGCATCGGGGACGATGCTCCGTCAGGAGAGGCCGTGTTAGGTGTAACTTCCTGTGGTGGCGCCACCGTCGTGCGGCGCGTCTATAAAAGGCTGCGAAACCCGGTGTGCGGCCTCTTTTGGTCGACAGACGTGCTCTCGAACAAATCTCCGTATCATACCGTGTTTGCTTTATAAGTTCTTTTACTGATTTTGTTAAAATTAATTATACGATTTGTTATCAGTTTCTTTTATTTAATTAAATTTAGAGGATACTCCTAACAATATATTTAAAGGTTTTTCTTTTTATTATTCTATAATCAAAAATATAAAACAAAATTATATTGTGTCACCTTCTCTATCTACCATAACATTAAAATACAATTTTCAGTCATTAATAGTTTTATTACATATTTCTACAACAAAATGACGATAGTAAGTTACCTTAACTTAGTATTTTGCTTGAACTTGTTAGATACTTGTAATGTGTCCAAAATGTTGTCTAGGTATATCTTATACCATTACTTGCGGGCTATACAGACTACATTACTAGCTGATACTGTACTCTAGTTAGAGAGGTAGACTGGCAAAAACTTTCAGTCCGTACCCATTTCAGCCGAAAACCTGCTTGCTATGTCAACTATATTTCGTTTGAAGAGTCAGATTATGCACTGAAATTACAGGATAAAAATCGGTGATGCTATTCATGTATACATGAAGGCCACCAGTTTGTTTGTTATTCTATTTAATTTTAAAAAAACCATTGGCCATTGTCCACATACCTATATCTTTTTCAATTAACTACACTAAAACTAAGTATATTACGATAGAAGATAATTAAACCAGAAGAACTAAAATATTATTTTCGTTGTCAAGTTGGTGGGAAAAAGTCAACGATATAATTTTCTAAAACATAACTAAAACAGATATTTCAGATACTGACGTTGACAAGGTTTCAAAATTTGGAAGGACAATATATTTTAGTGGTTATAATAAAAATGGTAGGGGTAAGTTTGCGTTTCATTTGAACTTGTTACTAGTTATGTAACTCTAAATGAATCCTACAGCGGTCCATGTGTGAAATACAGCCTGTCACGCATTGCCACTGCAGCTGCCTGTATAGGTAAAATAGTATTTAAAAACATTAATATATTGTCTGAGCTTACCCATTACAATCATCCATAGAAAAGTCTCTTCTTTTTTAAAATTAGCATGGAATAGCTGAGCCCCCGACTTCTTGACCCCTGAGCCCAGGATGACTGAAAATTATATTTCAGTCGAAATGAAATAAAGTCGAGTCGAAAATATGCCAGAAAGGAGGAGAATTTTAAAAGAGTTAGTGATTACATTAATAAAAGCTTACTTAACAATATCAAACTGATTTTACCTAAATGTCGTTTAACTAAAGTTAATAATTAGTGTTATGGTAATTGCGTAAGGTTTTACAACAAAATATCAGTCTGTTGCAAATCTGCCTGATAAAAGATTTAAATGTCATACAAAACACTGCGTTTGTAAAAAAGCTTACTATGAAATCGAAGAGTTCGGTAACGATAATAATGTTTTTATAGAAAAACTTATAATAGCATTAAAAATTAGTGCGTAGCGAGTGGTTTCTATGTTGATTATCTCTTACTTGTTATTGTGTAATTATATATATAAAAAAACATATATCCAAAAGAGCAACATACAAGTTTCTTGCTCATTCTTTTTATGATGAATCTGCATTCCGAATGAGTGGTAGTATCAAAAGTATGACTATTCAAAAGTGCTTGTAATGTTTTGAGTTTATTTGAGTAGGTATTTGATATGACAGTAGTCAAAAGTATATAATTTTTATGGTTGTAAGAAATTTGGAATAAAAGAAACATGACGTTATATGTGAATAGTGAAAACTACACCTAAATCTACACAAACTGACAAAAATTCTAAATGTCATTCTTTTGGTTTTAATTATTTTAAAGTTTCAATTAATAATTTAATTACAATGTCAAACACAATGTGTCTTTCCTGTTTGTAAGTTTATTATTAGATGTAACCACTGTCAGACTTAATATAATTAACCTACATACAGGAAAAAGTAATTTATTTTACGCGACTGTGTAACTAAATGAAAATTTACCGATTTTCTGAACAAAATGTTTTAGATACTAATGCTGTCACGGTTTATTTAAGCAATGGAACGATAGCAGATAACTCTAATACTGATAATAAAAAAGGTAATTTCATAATTCGTAATTTGACGGCCTCGGAGATCTAGCGGTTTAGCACACCGCTTTACTTCCGATAGTCGCAGGTGCGATTACTCGCACGGTGCACACATTTGTATTCATGAATATGATTGTATGTATTGGTCTGGTTGCTTTCTTACATAAAATTGTTGTAATAATTTGCACCCGGGGCATTCCCCTTTGTTTGTTAATAACTTCTATTGGACTTCGTGGTCTAGCGGTTTAGCACACCGCTTTACTTCCGATGGTCGCGGGTTTGATTCCTAGCACTGTACAAACTTTTGTATTCATGAGTATGATAGTTTGTAACGGTCTGTTGTTTTTAATGTATAATAAGTATGTGTTTTAAAAAAAAATCTAAGGATTTATATCAGTTGTCAAGTACGCATAACACAAGCTCTGCTTACCATGGGACTGGATTATCTATTATTTACTTATATGTATGTCACTAGATGTTTAACGTCGACCAGATTCTATTATATTTATAATCATATAAATAGGGGTAGTTAATGTAAGCACTAAAATTCTAAATATTACATTTCAGAACAAATATTACTAATCTGTTTAGTAATTGTGATCATATTAGTAGTGGTGTTACTGATCGTGATCTATTTTCTGGTGTCGAAGAAGAAACCACGCCGGCAGCAGCCTCTGCCCTCTGACGCTGTGCATTACTCTGTAGTGTATGACCACTGTACAAGACAGCAACGATAATATGAATTGAGAAGAGGTTCACAAAAAAATAACGGTTTCCTTTATGGTCACGCATTGTGTAACATAATTATTTTACCGAAGTATTCTTTGTAAAAAATCGTCTGTATTGGTACCTCTCACTATCTTACAGCTTGCTTTATAAGCTATGATTCGGTTACAGGGTGGGATAAAAGGATAAGACACTGAAATTACAGGTTAAGCATAGCAGATAAAGACATCTAAGTCCTTTAGAATAGCAACGCATTAGTGGTATCACGGGCGTTAAGTGATAACGTGATGACTTCACTCACTACATATTTAGAATCAATAATCAATTAATATTTTGAAATAAATTTTTGATTTTTATCCTTTAAAAATTAGATATTTTTATATTCAACTCCAGTATTCATGTAAATAATTGAGGCGATTTTACCATCAGTGCTGTTAGTGTAAGTAAATAGGCGATGGTTACCATTTACCATCAGAGTTATAATGTTGAGAGCCGCTTGTTTGCCGTTATGCCATACTATAAAAATAAAAAATTTGATGTAAATTAATTATGATCTGCTTACAGTTTGATATTGAATGATCCAAATATTAGGTATATTTGTATTAATCAATACAAAATATTAATATATTACTATATATAACAATTACCTCATTCCATCAGTCTGCAGACAAATATTGTATATTAATTATAGTTATAATGTTGTATATTATGTAGTTTGTTATTTACTCAATAACAAACTACATAATATAATATGATACTACTTCTACTGTAAAATATAATTTTCAAACATCTACTTTTTTATAAAATCTAAAAATATATTAATGTAATTGTATATATTAAACGACAATCTAGAATTCTTCTAATATTTGTATTTAGTTGTCTAATTTATTTCAAAATTCAATTAATGAAAATCAAGAAAACTACTCTGTATATTTTTGAAAAACATATTTATCACATAAACATATAGATATATGTAGATACTTAATTTATCACCTAATACTGTTCAATTAAATGCAAAGTATTTGTAAATACTGTAATTTTAGCGTTATTATTTATAACTATATTTACCTAACGAGATCTACTAAGCTAATTACATGCTTAAGAAATTTGTAGTAGATAACGATTTGAAAAACTGTGAGTGAGTAGTAGATTTCGATGACGACAAAGTAGCTCCTTATCTACTCGTAATTTAGGTAGGTGATCAGTATGCCGCAAAACACGTGCCAGAATACACTAATATATCCTGGTTATACTCTTTAAGCTTTTAGGTATTTGACCTGAGTACGTGGAGAACTGGGAGCTTCGAATGCTGTAGTCGGAATAGAAGTGCGATTTATGAGAAACATTCTGAGATAATGAACATGATTGGATTCATCTAATAAATCAAAGCAGCCATATCTAACTGCTTGGTGCTGGTTTTGGACTGTGGTAGCAGCTACACTTGTAGCGATGGAGAGGGCCTCTTGAAGGATGGTAATGACGCATAGAACCAGATCGATAATAATATTATAACCCTGAACAATTCACATAGCGCTACCTAGTCCCAAGCAAAGCGAATATTATACGATACTTACTAGACGACTGATAGAAATACTTAAATACATTTTTTATTGCAAATCTAAATATATTATAATAACTCAAAGGTGACTGACGTAGTGATCTATCAACGCACAGCCCAAACCACTGGACGCATCGGGCTGAAATTTGGTATGCAGGTAGATGTTATGACGTAGGCATCCGCTAAGAAAGGATTTTGATTAATTCTACCCCCAAAGGGATAAAATAGGGGATGAAAGTTTGTATTAAACTTTGTCAATTTTAAACCGACCAGGCTGAGACTTTGAATGCATAAAGCAACTATGACGTAGGCATCCCCTAAGAAAGAATTTTGATAAATTCCACCCATAAGGGGATAAATTAAGGCGAGCAAAGCCGCGGGCAAAGCTACTTTATAGTAAACATAGAAACCACCTAGATACATATTACAATACAAGGAATCATACTCATGAATACAGATCTTTGTATGAAAACACGATGCAAATATTTGTATCGACATTAAGCTATTGTGTTATGTTTAGCCGTTGCAAGACCACCGTGATCGTCAGACTGTCGTCAAGTTTTGATTAGTTGTGATATTACAAATTCGTGAATGTCTATGATTTGCTAAGAAGGTTTACATTTCTCGTTAAACGTTACATATTCGTTTTGCTCCTAATTTCTAAAAAAGAACACTGACCGCTTTATTAGTTCAACAAAGATATTAGTACGTTCTGTTGTTTGTGATCTATGCTAGCTATATTTACGTGAGTCTATATTTGTAACATTAAATTAACTTAAATACTTTCTCTAAAATAAATTGTTTTCAAGAAATACACTTTATTAAACCGAAAGGTTTCCAACCTCGTTATGGTTGCTTAAAATTCGTAACTTGAGAACAAATGTTGATTGTTGAATTTATGTAATTTTACAGCTATTGTCGCTATAGCAGACAGAGGTTAGCAGAGCTATCATACGTAGATGCCATATTCAGAGCCTTCAATAAAAACATTTAATGCTCTCAATCTAAAGGGCACTGAGGATATCTGTGGTATGTACGTTAGAGTAATGAAAACAGTAATAAATGAAGTTGCTTCACATTTAACTGAAATATTTAATATGAGCATAGATCAAGATCCAGATCTAATGAAAGTGAGTAAAATATTACCGCTATTTAAATCTGGCGACAAAAATAATATATAAAATTTTAGACCTATTTCAATTTTACCAGTATTTAGTAAGATTTTTGAAAAGATATTACTTACACAAATGTTAGCTCATTTTAGTCCACATGATTTACTTCATAAACAGTAATTCGGATATACGAGAGGACGGTCTACCACTGATGCAAGCATTAACTTAGTACAAAGTATTTTCGGTACCTAGGAAGATTCACAGGACGCCACTGGTGTCTTCTGTGATCTTTCAAAAGCGTTTGATTGCGTTGACCATAGGACTTTATTACTTAAACTAGAACATTACGGAATTAGAGAAAAGTCCTCAGAACTCATTGTATCATATCTGCGCGATAGAATTCAAGTAGTAGACATTAAAGGAAGCAAGTCTAAGGGGTCATATATAAAAATGGGTGTACCTCAGGGTTCTGTTCTTGGCCCATTTCTTTTTCTTGTTTACATAAACGACTTACCATACCAGTTCCAAAACATACTTAACATGGTATTGTTTGCTGATGATACATCACTTATTTTCAAAGTAAAAAAAAAATACAAAGGATTTTAGTAATATAAATAATGCTCTTGAGGATGTTCTTGACTGGTTTACATAAAAAATAATCTAGCGCTTAATTCAATGAAAACAAAATGTGTTAAATTCTCTTTACCAAATGTAAAACAAGGCGCTGAGGGTGTTAATACCTGTAAATACTTTCATACTATTTAAAAGCAGGATCTTACGATCTTTATAGACATGTTGGAGAAGCTATTTACCTTAGCTGTGATATTCCTTATGAAGTGGTGTCTCTGTCTTCTCCTAATTATAAAGGCCCTGAATATTTATAGTACTTATAAAAGTAAAGAAAGAAAGAGGTTGTAAGGGGATTGAAAGGGTAGCTGCAAGGTGGTATGGATTTAATTTAATTTAATTAAACGGATTTTCAAAGGAAATTTGGAAAGTGATTTTTAGGCTGTTGATTAAATATAAATAAAGAAAAATGGGTTGTAAGGAATTTAGAGAGAGTATTTAAATCTCCTTTTATATAATATTGTCATTTTTAAAGCTAGGAGCTTGAAGTTTAATTCTTAGCCTATTTATTAAATATATATTAAGAAAAAGAGTTATAAGGGGTTGGAAGAGTTATGAAAGATTGTATGAAAGTGTCGTCACACTTCCATACAATCTTTCATAACTCTTCCATAATTTTTACATAAATTTTGAAGCTAAAACGATTTAACTTTTTCATTTGACTTTTATTGGATTAGGTTATTAAACATTTTTTTCATTATTTGGTCAAGGTAGCTACAGCTAGTCATACAATAAATGAATGCTAAATAAATAACTGTGTATCTTCATAGAATAGCGCATCATGTATATAAGTGGCTTAAAAGATACAAGCACATAAGATTAATAAACAGGATAATTGTAGTGTTGTCATTAATTTAGCAAAATTATTATTTATGTATGTGACCCAATTTGTTTTGAATACATATATTTGTAAATCAAACAAGGCAAAAGTCCAAATGTGTTCCAAATATTTGCTTTTATTCGTAACAATAGCTTCTTACAGTAGCAGTGAAAAGTGTGGTAATAATAATTTTAATATATAATGTAATGAATTACTAGATAACATCATGTTTATTTGTTTGTGATGAAACTAGCAAAGCAAGAGTTATGGTTTCAATATCAAGTGTTATAATTGGTGGTCAAAAAAAGTGGTCTGGACAGACTTTGTTAATTTTTATTTGATGGTCTTTAGGCACTTGTCTGCTGTGATTCAGAGTAATTATGTCTAAATTTCTATTTACTAAAATAATACTAACTATTTAAAATTAATACTAGCACATGGACACTACTTCACGTGTATCAAGTACCTATGTGTTTTATGTGAATTTTAATCTCCCAAATATATATCAACATTAGTTTAATATCGGGAGTATAATATATTCTCACGGCAAATATCTTGTTTAGATAATAGGTAAGCAGTAAGTTGAAAAAAAACATGAACTACTACTGTAACACTTTTCTTACAGGCAATACTCTAAGATATAGGGAAGAAGATATTTTAAAATTCATTATACGTCTAAAGGAACTACCAGAAGAATTGGATTATTCTTACTCTGTAATATGTAAGTCACAAGATTCTTCATAATTATTTTAAAAAAAATAGTTTTTTTCTATAATAGAAAATAGATATGAAATATAAAATAACCTTGTGATGTTGAAAGCACAACACAATTGTTATTATTTTCAAAGTATAAAATACTTCATAATAGAATAATTCTAAATAGATTCTCTCACGCAGTTTTTTATAGTTTGTAATGGCCAATCATAGGCCAGTTTCCTAACTGGTACTATAAGCTAATCATAGCCATGATCAAAATGATCTGTAGTTTAGAAGCTCATTTCGATACAAACGACTGTTGTTGACAGTGTTTATAAAAATTCGAGTATTATTAGCAAGACGAACCTTATGAATTAATGTTTTATCAAGTTAGGGTATAGGGGAAACCCAAACTCGAGTGTGACTCACATAATAAATAAGAATCAACTCACGATTCTCCCAGGGGAATATACGACGATCCGGCA